TGATGAAGTCACCGCAGTGAGGTCAGTGTCCTGCTTGACTGGGAGCGGATTAAACCTGCGGTACGTTGCTGTCACACTGGCCTCAGGGTAGCTTAAGCTTGACCGAACGGGGCAACTCTATGTGGCTCAACAGATTAAAATGTGTGCCATGGTGCGGGTGATGTCATGAAGTTGAGTCGAGCTCTGCACATGACCTATATTGGGTATCATCAGTCTTTCTTTGCTTTTCACATGGACTTCAGAATATACTGTCTGTTACAGGGTCAGTTCACAAATAATGGAAAAAACATATGTGTCATTTGTCTAGATTTTGCTATGAATACATTGAATTTAATAGAGATGAATGGGACTTTATTTGTGGTTTTGTTCAAGGGGTCTAAGAATAGGGGGTATCGTGTGCTGTGCAGTAAAACCCCCTCAGGCAAAGACCTGTCCCTTTAAGTACACTGTTTTGCGGAAAGTGCTTGTTGGCTGCTATGGAAGGAAAATCCATCCTGTTTATTCCATCCAGCACATTCCAAAAATTACAAAGGTCATACTTTGTCATCTTCCTCGCAGGAAAACAGATTTGAAGGTGGAAATGACCGTGAGCTTTCTCATGAAAGTCTGTGCATGTGCGCATTCTTTGTGAGAAAAACAACAAAAGCGACTGCTAACATGGAAACTTTATCAACAATTCATTGGAATTTTTTTTATTATTATTATTTCTATTAGGGAAACCCCATGGACGCTTTATGGTTGTCACCATGGCGACAACACAAGGGGATGAGAGGTTGTTTTTGCAAGACATAAGATGGCTGATTGGACAGGAAAGAAAATAGTGCTATCATCATGTCTGCTTCTGATTGTTTTCCTAGAAGTTTTCAGCTTGACGATCTCTGATAATTAACCAAATGGAACTTAAAAAGGAAAATCATTGTTTGGCTGATCTGTGCACCACTTAGTAGATGGAGTCTGTGATGGGGATGTGTGTCTCCTTTCATTTTAAAATGGAAAATGGATGGGATGTCAGAACCTGCCTTATCACTTCCAGTGTTATGGTGCGTGGGCCCATTTATAGGTTCTAGCTCAAGGACACCTGACGAAGACACCGGATTGCTGTGGGGGTATTTTGTGTACCAGTTTCGCTGTACACTGTAAAGGTGGTAGGCCAGGTGATAACCAAAAGATGTCTGGACTCCATCCCAGATTTAACCATCTAAATTTAAGCTTCTCACCAGACTCGCACCATAAAATATTTAGTGTATGTGACCTAGAATAAATGGAGCGAAGCCTGTGAGGCAGTTCAAGCAGACAGTCAGGCAGACGCTCTGCACTGTCACCGCAACATACATATATCAAACACACCTTTTACAATATGGCTTTCTATTGAATCTGTCAGTACTCTGTCTACACTCGTGCAACACTGCTGACAATATTTACTGCTACCGCTGCTGCTCAGTCCCTCATTGATCCACCTTTAGGCTCTACGTCCCAGTTCCTTGTAAGCAGGTTTTAGGTGACCTCGGCACAGTGTTACTGCGAGGTAAATGCTCACGTCAACATGCTAACATGCTCACTATGATAATGCTAGCATGTTGATGTTTAGCTGATATGTTTTCATTGCTTTAAAGATAATATGGTATGATAATTAGTATATGCTATATAGCTATACCATTAGAATGGAATATGGATTAGGGAAAGAGCTTGATTTCTCCTCAGGGGGGAAGTTTATTTTATCATTTATGATCCTTCCCCAGTCTCTGCTGTGCTGACTTTGATGTATGTTTAATGGAAGTGATGAGTAGGGGCCTCGATGCCAAATATCAGCTTTAAACATGGGACTACTTAATATTTGCTCATGAGCTGGATGTTTTGTTCATCCAGGAACAAAACAAACAAATCTGGGTCTTGTCAGATTTGTCGTGTAAATAAAAGTTATCGTGTGTAAACAACCTGCCTTACATAATGTTAACCTTATACAGTGTACACACCTGCAGTACAGTGTGTGCATTCAGTGTTATGACTGGTGGATTTTTACTATGTGCTGCCTTGATAAGACATAGCCGGTGATGACTCAGACTGTGTGTGTGTGTGTGCATGTCTGTGAGTGTGGGCAGTGTGTGTCACTGTCTATAGGTGTGTCCCCCCGTCTGTTTAGAGATTTCACTCTCTCTTACCCCCCCCACCCACGCTGTGTGCCCCCATTTTCCCTCCTTCTTCGTGCCCCTTTTACCCGCCCTCCCCCCTGTCACACTCTTGGTCTCAAAAAAACTAAACAAATATCCTCCACATACACACATTTCACTCTCACTCTATTTTTGATCACATTCCAACCCAGTGACTTCAGACCAGAAATGGGAAAGTGTGTGTGTGTGTGTGTGTGTGTGTGTGTGTGTGTGTGTGTGTGTGTGTGCCCCCATGATGTCAGCTGTTTGTTTACATACTGTGGTTGTGTCTGGGGCACCAACTTGGCAGATAAGCAGGGTGGGAGTGTGTGTGTGTTTATGCGTGTGTGTGTGTGTGTGTGTGTGTGTGTGTGTGTGTGTGTGTGTGTGTGTGTGTGTGTGTGTGTGTGTGTGTGGATTGTGGGTGTTGAAGTGAGAGAGGACGGACATGCCAGACATGAAAGAGAGCATAAAAAATGTTCTGTTGAAAGTCAGTGGAATGGCCTTGGGAACGATGAGCTTGTCAACTTCATAGACTCTTCATTGTTGAGCAACTGATAATTGAGTGTATTCCTGTTTCTCTGTCCGTCTTTCTCTCTCTCTCTCTCTCTCTCTCTCTCTCTCTCTCTCTCTCTCTCTCTCTCTCTCTCTCACCCCAGCCAGAGGAAACTGCTGCATAATGATAACAGACTCGGAGACAATGGGTTCAACGGGCGTAAATACGCATGCACAAACACACGCATGTTCACGCACAATACATACACATACATTGTGTTGGTGAAGCTTGGGGGTCAGGGGTCCTGCCTGTGCTGCTGATAGTCTCCAGACCTTCTGAAATTATTTATCAAATATGGAACAATCCGGACATACCAGCCACATTTCTGAGCTCTTTTTCCCCCCTTCAAAATGACCTGTTGGAATAAAGAATTATCCCTCTCCCTCCTTCCCTCCCCCTGCCCGGACCTTGTCTGCCTAGTGATAAGGTCAGATTGGGTTTATTTTGGGCTACTTGCAATACTGCAAAGAGTACCAAAGCCCTGAGGGTTTCCCTTAAAAGCATTTTGTTGTGTTTTGGGGGGGTTCTGTTCATCTCAAGTGGCGAACAGGCTGAAGGAACAATTCCAAAAACCTGGCCTTTCTTTCTGAGAGATTTGACCTTGGCTGGCTTCATTACCTGCTACTGGTGATTCTTTTCTTCAGTCATTCAAAATATATCAAAAGGTTTTACATACAGTACATTTCTTGAAACTAGATCATCAGTGCAGTGCCTCATAGTCTCTCTAAAAGTGTTATTGTTTATCAATAAGGTTCTCATGTGCAATCAACTCATTATATCCATGATACTCTATTATACAGTCAATATGGCTTATTATTATGGTTTATTATTATTCCATTTTGCTATGGACAACATAAAAAAACACGTCAGGTACAATTTATTGTAATGTTACAATAAACTGCTTAATAAACTGGCAGCTGAGTGTATATCTAATATGTTACAACTACCCTGCAACTGAAGCTCCTGTGACAATACGCACAGCCAACAAATAAATAATATTGCATTGATGCAAGGATGTAATGTATCAAGATGCACCATGATGATGAATAATCTGTGAGGAAGATTTCTACCCTAAAGGCTTTTTTTTTGTACATTTTGCCAAACAAATTCACATTCTGCTCAACTGACAAAATTTGATGACAACAGTATGTGACTTGATTGGCAGTTTAGGTTAAAGTCAGCTTTTTTATTATGTAATTTGATTAATAATATAATTTTGCTTTCCAAACATCACTGCAAATAGAGTAATGTTTTTACACTTTTGATTTGACTTTGGTCCTATTCATTAAATTGCCAGTTCAAATGTGCTTGAGGAGCTTTAGACAGTGTAACAGTGTTCAGCTGTTGAGGACATAGTTATTCATGGCCAGATAGCTCCACTGTGTGTCAGAATACCTGAATAGCAGCAACCAAAGGGAAATTTGTTTTAGAGAGGGCACATATATCACCACTAGAGGGGGCACCATGTTTGTGTTGTCAGATTTACTGTTGCTTCAACCGCTACAAGGAGACCGGAAACAGTTTCAAAGTGTACAACATCATTCCTATGGTCGTGTACAAAAACGAATTGAGGTGTTTAGGGGGGTGGGGGGCTCTCAGCTTTGTGCTATTTCCTGATGAAAATGTCTTTTCGGTCCTAATAAATTATCTTTTGATGATTAAAAAAATATATGGAGTTACATCAGTTATTACCTTTGTTTAAAATGATAAAAAAAAGTCAATATGATTTGAGAGGAAAAAGCACGTTTAAAAATAATTTATTGAACAAATATAGAAATGTCCAATCTGAAAGCCACATTGACATCTGTATAACAAAGTACAGGATATATTTTATTTTATTATTATTATTATTATTATTTTTTAAATTTATTTATTTATTTATTTTTTCTTGATGTTAGCTTATTATGTTAAACATTTTATAAACAGGGTATGCACAGTAGGCTGTACGTTCAGCCTTCACCTTTTTTGACTGGTATACTACTATTACAACTACTACTTATAATAATAATAACAATAATTATAATAATAATAATGACAATGATAATAATAATAATCATCATTATATAATAATAATAATAATAATAATAATAATAATAATGGTAATTGTTATTGTTATTATTATTTGTCGTTGTTATTACTATTAATGTTAATATTATGCATATTTAATAATATGAAATTGTAATAATAATTCACCGGTTCGGAATCACAAAACAGAACTTTTATTTTGTAAACAAGCACCGGAAGTCCGTCTCTTCATTCTGTCAGCTTGCTACTGTCAATATTTGTAGTGGCGAGAACCTCCGAGCTGTCACGACGAGCGTCCGTCTGTCTCGGTGCCTCAGCTTACTGTCATGCCATCCAGCTCTATACTTAACTTATGGAAATTCATCAATAATTAAATTGCTGTTTTGGGACTTTGTCAGAGTTGAACGGAGGCGAGATGTCTCTTTAAATTGCTCGGCTCTTGGTGGTCGTGCGGGCTGAAGAGAAGATTATCGTTTCCTGGCTGAGAATTTGACAGTTAGTTGTACCGCCCGACTGTTGGCGTGGTGTTGTTGTTCAACTGCGACAGACCTCACAACATAAAGAGGTAAGTTAAGGACACTGACTGGACGAGTCCAGTTTATGTTCAATAAGGGTCACATGGCGTTACGTAGAAAAACGCTGACTTTTCGTGTGTCGTTGTCCAGTGCTTCATGTTAGACTTTAGGATGCTGTTGTCTGCTAATTGCTGCGTTGATGGACTACCGTTAATTTGTTTATGTAGCCTAGCTAGTTGCATTTCATCAATACTTTTAAAACATACCCGATATCTGTGCTGCTTAAATGTTAAAATTAATGTTAAATACATCAATTACCAGTTAATGGAGGCATTAACGTTAAGTGTATTGTGTAGACGGGTTTTTGTATATTTTCAAAACTAGATTTGTAAACAACTACTTTAAACAAGTTTGACTAAGAAGTGGTTAACCAGCCAGATCATTGTGCAACTAGCGTTCATTTATGTAACAAAACAAATATTAATTGCTGTGATGTTTCTTCTAAGAACAGCACTCAACAAGATTATTTTATTTTTATTTTTACTGCACGAACTATGTTATAATGTTTGTGAGAGCAAAACAAGACCATGCTGTGTCATTAGAGCATGTAGTATTAACGTCATCATCTTGTAACTAGTGAAGATGCACTGCCAGCATAAACTAGGGTAGTAGCTAAACTACAAGGGACAATTATTCCTTTGTAATGAGATCCCAAATGGCATCCAGCGACAACCAGGGGTCATTTTGGGGCTTCAGAGGGTGTTTCCTGAAAAAGTGAGGTGTAGCTAAAAGTAGGATGGGATTGTTTGAGGATTTATGGCTTTTCATTTTCAGTACAGCAAGTTTGTGGGAAATAAGTATTTAAAAGCACAAGTTAGTTTGTCTTTATTAAGTTATTTTATTTGCTTGTTGTGGATCATGTGCAGTTTTAAACATAAATGCTACCGGTTGATTGACTGTGCCAGTGTTAGCTTATAAGCAATTTTCATTTGTATTAATTACCATATTGTTTGATATAAGTTTCATTTTCTCATTTAAAGATTTACAATGGATCATTACATTTTGCCTGTCTGAGATCTTCAGGCACAACTTTGTTCCAGAGGATATCAGTCTTGGTCATATTCCCCAGCACCACTGTAAGCCTATGTGAAAGCTAACATGCAGGAAGACATTGAAGGAATAGAGAAAAAGAAACAGAGACTGTGAACGCAATGCAAGCATCTGGTTCATGTTGATACTAACAGACCCTATTAGGTAGCTGCTCAGCTTAAATGAGTGTAGTTAGTGTTTTCCCCCTCTACTTTACAAAGGCTTTGGAGTAATTTCTCTAAAGCCAGTGCCCACAGATGACTCAGCCGCTCTTTATGTCTGAGTCATATTACACAGGCACTGTCCTAAAGTTAGCCACAGTATTAGATCGTTTGCCAGTTAGTTTTGGTTTGATGAAGACAGATTCTCGGTGGCATTCCTTTCTTTGCCCACTCCTTCCCACTGGTTTCATTTTTTATTTTCCCCCCGGTCGTTCATTCCTGCACTTTTTTTCTCTCCCTCTTTTTCTGCTTTTTTTTTTCTACTCCCTGGAAAAGTCAAACTCCCTTGCTGGCTTTTAAACCCGCAACAGTGTTATACGCACATTTTCACACTAAAATATCTCACACACATTCCTGTGTCATCTTTCCTCCCCTTTGTCATTTCATCCCTTTGTCCACCATTCAGGCTTTCATCTTTGTTGTGCTACCCGCTGTCTTTCTCTACCTTTCTCTCCACCCTCCCAGTGCCTTTTGTCACAGTCTATCTGCTCTAGCTATTTCTCTCATTACCACTCTGCTCTTATGCTCCCATGTCGTTTTCCTTCTTTGTCTGTGCTCTGCCAGTGTCAGTGGTCAGGATACTGGACCAGATACAGCTCCCCGCCCTGCCCTGCCCTGCCCTGCCCTGCCCCTGCCCTGCCCTGCCCTGCCCCGCCCTTAGCAAACACCACCACTACATCCCAATCTCTGCTCCCTCAGAGTTTGATCCAGTTTAGATCACTGCGAGCAGCTTATTGGGCTCGCACTAGAGCTGAAGCGATTAGCTGATTACTTGATTAGTCGATCAACAGAAAATTACTCAACTATTTTGATCATTCATTTGATGAGTTTTGGAAGCCATAATAACCTAAATGTGATGGTCCCAACTTCTCCGATGTGAGGATTTACTGCTTTTCTCTGATTTTACATAGTTGTTGTTGTTTTTTTTGTTTTTTTTGGACTGGGACATCTTTGTCTTATTGCACTCTGCGATACTGCCGTTTGCATTTTTCAACGTTTTTGATGTTTTATAGACTAAATAAATAATCAAACAAATAATTGACAGATTGATTGTTCATGAAAATAATTGTAAGTTTCAGCTTTAGCTTACACATGCTTTTACATTTGCCTTTGTGTGTGTGTGTTAACCGCTACTTACCGCTATGGAGTCACCCGGATACAGCCAAAAGAATTTCACTTGTATTTGTTTATACAATAACTCATTACCCATAAATGGAGGATAAGAGGATGTGAGATACCAAAGGGATGACTAAGGCACCTCACTGCTGTTCAGGAGACATGTTTCACTCTCGACTTTTGCTTCTAATTCACATCCTGTGGGCAGATCACTGACAATACCTGACACGCAAAGCTTGTGCCAGATGTGATGTGCTTCTCTTGTGCTGTCATTCAGGGTTGAGGTTGGTAAGATGTCACATGACGGTTCAGATGAGATTTTAGAGGGTTAGTGCTTCCTGTGCTGAATGAACAGCACCTTTCTGTCTCTTCCTGCACATGATTCCCACAGGATCAGAAAGAGGTTTCCTTCTATCTATTGGGGGATGTTCCCATCTTGCAGAGATTTGCCTTTTCGTGGCTGTACAGGCCACTCAGATACACATGGGGAGATCATACCTCAAGAATACATAGGATAGTGCAATGCCATAATGGCCAAGGCTAAACATGCTTTCTCAGCCTTCAGTGGAACAACAAGGCTCTTGAAATTGAAAGGCTTAAAATGATCTTGCAACCTATTCCAAGGCAAAAACCGCTTTCCAAATTTATAGTATGAATGGGCAATTGTAAGATGTAATTTTTTTTTTTTTTTAAGATTAAGTGGATAGGATTATTAGCTAGAAATGTAGAAGGCACAGCTATAGAAGAATGTGTGTGGTGCTATCAGATATTTCTACAGTCTTTCAGTGGGAATAATTGTCAAGGAAAGCAAAGGAGGAGAGATAGCTTTGTGCATGGGTGTCCTCTGCTTGAATAAGGTGGGGGTTGGTATGTTCAGGAGGGGGAAAAGTGCTGCGGTAGGCTGCTGCTGAGATGCCATTTAAAGTGGAAGGGAGGATTTGAGGGAATTAAAGTGCAAACTGTTCCCTTCTCTACGCTCTTAGCTAAAGCCTCTTGACGTGCTATGAGGAAAGAAATGCTACTGTAATAGTGTGAAAGGAAGGCGTTTGTTTGCTTAGTCACAGATACTGGCTGTTGCTGTGGAGTCAAAATATTTGTGATCCTTGTTGCTGTTTGTTTGTTTTGTACTAAAAACAGGGTCTACAAAGTGGTTTCAAAGCATGTTGTCATTATGTTCTCAGTTTTTTTAAAAAAACTATCTATAGGATGTGAGGGTTGTGTCTGATAGCAGTGATAAATATCTCTGTGTCCACAGTGCAGTAGCCACATCCTCTTTTTTTTAATCCTTGTCCCAAGAAAAGAGAGAGAGAGTTAAATCCGTGAGTGAGCTTTCTTGATATTGGCTGCCTGTAATATCACTTATCAAGCAATTTAAGATAATTCTACGATGGCCTGTATTGAAAATCTCCTAGGATACGAGTGTCAGAGGCTAATATGCAAATTGAAATGCAAGAACCCATTTACATGCACAGTCTAATGATTGGATAGACACGAAAGTGAAGATTACAACAGACTGACAGCAGAGAGCTAGCTGCTAACATAACTCTTATTACTGCTCCAGTGCAGCATAATGTAAACATTAATTAAATGAAGAAACAACTGTAATGTACAGCTTTGGAAATTGTCTTCAGCTGCTGCAGATACACCAGTTTCAGTATGACTGTGTGTTGTTCATATTTGCAGTAAACAGAGAAGGCTTGTCTGCTGGCATGGGCAACCAGAGCAATGGGCTGCTGTTATGCGCAGCCATTTGTGTCGTTGCTATTATTGCCTGTTTATACTCTCTAAAAATCCTCCTCATTTAGCTCTGACAGTAGGTTGCACACAGCCCGAGGAGGAAGATAAAATGAAAGAATAAGATGTAGAGAATTAACGTAGTGATGTTGAGCATGTTAACTGAGGAAGGCCTTAGTGGGAAAACATCTGACCTGTGCACATGTAAGAAAACGTACAAATTTGTAAATATTAAGACCTCACGCCCTTTTTAGGAGGGGAGGTTTCTATGTGCATGTCTGCTGTCACGCTGACTTCCTGTCTCTGTCTGTTGAGTACATACAGCCACAGCTTCCCTTTCTGTCATCTCCTGCCGCACTTTTCAGTCGCATTAATTGGTTACTACACCACTGTAGTTCTGTCCCTGGCCAACTACATCGGAAGACTAATTCAAACTTTCACCGGGTTACAAACTGCAAGTATTTTTTTCATGCGAGAGCAGGCACAGGAGGATTCAGGATATAGCGTAAAGTTACGAGACCGGATCACAGAGCAGAAGCTAAAGGTTGGTGCACTTTCTGATGAGTGGAGACTCTAGCGGAGGTTGTTGTTGTCATAGAACAGATTAACTCACTTAACCCATGCGGTGAATAGACTAATCATTTATAAAATCCTACCACTTTCTAAAATCTTACCTTCAATGTCCACTTTTGTCTAGTAACTCTCGTTGCATAACTGAAGAACTAAAGAAATGAAATGTTACATTTCTTCCTGGTGATGAATCTGTGTGTGCTCCCTGATGTCACAATGTCATGACATGCGCCCTCGCCAGCCAACACATTGGAAAGTGCTTCAAATCAATTTCTCGTCATTTTTTTTTTCTTCACCTGTTTGTTCTCACGTGGAGGTCAGATGTAAGGTGAAAATTGAACTGATCGGTGGCATTCAGTAAGACAGGATAGTATAGTAATACAAACATAGATTAGTTAGAAGCACCTGTTGTCTTCAGGCTGAAACCACATTACGTTTACTGTAATTTTGGGCAAAGCAGTGCTTGGCAGGCTTCATAAGAATTTTATTTTCAATGAGAGAAAATAAACAGTATATAACAAATATTTTGGAAACACTGACATAGTGATAAATCTCCCAGTAAATGATGCCTTCATAGAGGTATAAACATGAAACGTTACTTGCCAGCGGACTTAGCACCACAAGTAGTTAAGCGTGTGAGCTGTGGTTTATGCTGATTATCTGCACTGTAAGAGCACATCTTTGACCAATCAGATTGCTCAGCTTAAGATGCCTCTTACATAATCTTTGTGATGGCAGTTTCCGAAAGTTAAACTGGTGGAGACTTTCTAACAAACATGACCACGAGATAAAGCCGATGAAATGAGGCTGTTCTCTCCGCTCTCGTCGTCTACACCTGCTGTTAAACTGTGATATTTTTCTTCACTTTGAGAATGCTGGGTCAGTTCAGGTATGTTGCTTTTGTGTGTGTTTTTGTCTCTCTGTAGTATTGTTTTGTACCATCTGTGCTCTGAATGTGTCTGCGCCATAGCATGCTAACAGGGTCTGTCTTTTGTTCGTTAAGCTTGTGTGTTTAAATGCATTGCTTTGTGTGTTTGGATGCTTTGTTTTTTTTTTTATTATTTATGCTCTGTAAATCTCAGTGAGTGTCTGAGCAGCAGGGCAGCTGCTGTAGATTAGTTGGATTACAGGTGGCTGAGATTAACCAAGAGAGTGTCTGTCAAAGACTTACTGCTTTTATTACTACACTCTATCAACTGCCGCCACCACTGTCACTGCCACTCTCTTTCCTGGTACCACTTCTAACTACTAACTACTACTAATACTGTAACTGCTTAAAGTGAAATATGATTACTGTTACTGCAGCTGCTCCTGATTCTACTGTTTCTGTTACTGTTATTACTTCAACACTTGATTAATTGTGCTGCTTTTACGGTGCTACTGGTACTGCTACTGTATTAGCTACTGCATCTACAGCTACTACCGCATATAATGTTATCATTTACTGTTGCTTTACCTACTGCTTCTAATGCTAAGATATTACTACCCACTGTTGCTTGTGCTACAATTCAGCCTGTCACTGCTGTTACCAGTAGCACTAGTTTGCTACTGATACATAAGATGTTGCTACTAAACAGTGTCTCTGTCAGACTGCAACAATCAAAAGAAAATTAATTTGCAACTATTATAGTGGCTTGAATATTATTTGGTTTGTTGATCAGACAAAACAAACCATTTGATGAACCACCTGGGCTCTAGGACAATGTGATGGTCTTTTTCAGTTTTCTGAAGTTTTACAGACCAGATGATTAATTAAGAAAGTAATCGGCAGATCAGTTGATCACAAAAGTAAGCATTAGTTGCAGCATTAGCCTCTGCTACAGAAATATATTATTCTGCTGACCCACCTCCTAACCAGCTTTCCAGAGGAAAGCCTGTCATTTTTGAGGCAGTCAAATTTTAAATTGTGTGGATTTTACACAAAATCCACAACTATTTATTATCATTATGCTTATGTTAGCCTTCCTAGTTGGTGATGGTGTGTTGGGCATCCTGTTGGCTGACAGGTGAAGTTTCTGGACCTGCAAGACTTCACTCCATATATCTGAAATCATGATGTGTGTCTTCTGGTATTGTATAGACCCCTTCCTGCCAGCATGTACTGACCAGAGACTTTGTGCAGTTTAAGGAGCTTATTAAAATATTGATAAATAATATCTTATTGTTTTTCTCTCTGTGTCTTTCAGTCATGTCCCGTAGGAGTTCTCGCCTGGTGTCCGGTGGCTACTACAACTCAGATGAAGAATCTGACTCGAGTAGCGTGACAAACATATCCTACCGTGAAAACCCTGTCAAGTACGTAATTGCGTGTGTGCTCATGTGTCTGAAGCTTGGATACTAGTCAGCAAGTCTGATTTGCAAACTATAATGTTAAGCAATCTTCATCTTTCCTCTAATGCCCCTCTCTCCTCCTTTGTGTTTGTGTGTGTGTGTGTGTTGTTGATTTTCTTAAGGGTTTTCAAGAAAAAGGCAGGGACCCGTAAGGCTGGCTCCCGTACCTCCAGCAGAGCCGACAGCAATGCTAGTTCACCCAGCCCCGAGACGCCCGTCACTGAAGGCCAATCTGATGGTAAAAACAAGCACAACATCCCAACATCTGCTCAAGAGTACTGATGAGATCATTTCCTGTCAACACAAAAGTAATAATAATAGCATGACAATGTGTTTCAGGGACATTTCAGAGCAGAGCTGAAAGCTGCTTTTCTCTGTTTTATGTATTTGCTTTCAGAGAAGAGGTCTTACTCCTTTTGGTGTAAAAAAAAAAAAAAAAAAAAAGTATTTATTCACAGCTGACTGTTTATTTTTGTTTCTCCCTGTCCTCGTCTTTTTCTGCCTCTCAGGCCTGAGTCCTCCCTCGAGCACCCAGCCTCAGCCGATCATGAGGACCGTACCCTATGTCTCCACCACAGCCACCCCTCGGCCCGCCCTGACCCCATCATCAAGCCGGAGTCAGACTCCCACATGCTGCCCCTTAGCGCCTCCGGAGAAGAGCTCTTTCGCTGGGCTCTACAGCTCCAGCAGGCCAGGATTACACCTGAGGCCCAACCACAAGGAGCTGACTCAGAGCGGAGTGGACAGCTCCGGGTACTCGTCCTCTGAGGGGACTTACAAGAAGCCCACAGTTGCCACCAGCGGTAACAGCAGAATGAGCAGTAACAATGGGGCTCCCAGTCCTGGATACAGAAGCAGAATCAGCAGTGCCTTCTTTAGTTTGAAGGGTGAGTACTAAAGTGTATTGGTGTGTGTGTGTTTTAATGTGTCTTTGCATGACTCATCATCATCTCATTGTTTCATATATTTTTGCAGACTCTGCCTCATCGACGGCTGTGGCAGCAGAGTCAAAAATAATGACAGCTTTAGGTATGTTGTTGTTGTATGTGTTTAAGTTTGTCTTTGTGTATATTTGCATGCATATGAGGATGTATAGTACGCTCATGCTTATGCTTGTTTTAAGTGGATTTGTTCAGTACATGTTCACATACATACAGCTTCCACATGCCAGTAGGTCTGTGTTTTCACAATCGCTGCCTATGACTTGGCTCCAGCTTTCGAAATCCCCGCAAAACGACTTTTCTTCCTGTCCATACAGCTAATACGTCATTCAGCAGTCGCATGAAGAAAGCTTGTGGTCTGTTTCTCCTCCTCCTCGTCCTACTTCTATGTAAGTGGCATAAACTTTTTAACAGATTCAACACATTTTCACATTCAGGAGACAACTCATTATCCCCTCAGACGTGTGGAGTCTTTGGTTATACTTTGCTTTCATTGTTAAAGTCTTGTTTTCCATGTTTCTTTGTCAGATAGAACAATTTAAAGGAAATATACCTGATTATTTAATGATCACTTTGGAGAATTCAATGACCAGACTATGTTTGACGTGACATTCACAAACTCAAAGCAAGATTTCTTGAGCTTTGATTGCTCCTCTCTAGTTTTGTTTATTTTTGTGTATATTTTATATTTGAAATGTGTTTTTGTAGAGCGCTAATGAAAGTCCTACCACACCCACCGTCCTGAATGCATCTTACATTAGTAGCACCTGGGGTTTCCCCCAGGAAGATGGTTAGAATAGATGGTAGTGTCTGCCACAAAATGTGTGCATGACTCACACAGCAGCACTGCTTGGCTGCCTCTGCTCGCGTGCCGAGTTTTTCCTCACCCAATCCCGTTGCAGAGTGATTGAATGAGTCACTGAAAATGTCATTACAAGTTTCACATGACGGGGCCTTTGATGTTAGGAGCTAGATGGAGTCAGGTGATGTTAGCTTTGTGTAGACTGTGCCTGCGTTTCTAAGTGCTGTTCTTAAGGCGCCATTCCTCCTGTTTTCTCCAGGTATTTGGTTCCTCCTTCCCTTGTTGACCTCTTTCATCTCCCGCATGAGTGTCACAAAGACCCCGCCACAGACAAAACCCAAGACTCAACCTGTTGTGCCTGCCCCCCCCCCTCCTCAACACAACATCGTGCATCATGCACCTGTGGTGGTAGGGCTCGACTGCAGATCATCTGTGTGTGTGTGTGTGTGTGTGTGTGTGTGTGTGTGTGTGTGTGTGTCTGCATACGTTTCCTAGTCTCATCAACTGATTTCATCTTAGCTACTGATGAATTCAGATCCATCCTGTATTTAGACTGGTCCTTAGTCCACATTTGAGACAACATTAAATCAGCAATTGCAAACAGACAGAAGACAAAAGAAAGACGACAATAACAACTATAATGTTTCATGCAGAGGTTCTTCTGACAAACACCTTTTTATTTGGAGCTTGTTGCTATGAAAATTTGGAGTCTTTTTTTTGGTGACCTCAATAGTAACGAGTCCTTTTGTCCCACCAGGATCCAGCTGTTGTTTCTGCTGCTGTAGAAGCGAAGATGCAGCATGTTTTGGTAAGAAGAAGATCATCAGCAATTTTGCAAAGTCAGATTTTATCCAAATTCACCAGAACAGTTTTTTTGAATCAAATATGCATCAAATAGGCAGCTTAATATAACAAAAATGGCAGATAATGTTGATCTGTCTTTTGCAACTGTAACCCAAATGTGTGTGTTTGGTTGCAGACGGAGCTGCAGCTGAAGCAAGAGCAGCTTCACTCCCAGGTGAGAGAATCTCTCTCTCTCTCTGTTTCCCCCCCAGCAAATGTGTTGTGAAATGTCCTGTCTGGTGAGGTCAGGACGGTGGTGAGGATGAAAATTAAGCTGTGCTACAGTAACATCTAGTGGTGGTGATGGAGAACTGCAGAGATTTTCAAACTTTTTGTTACATACTTTGAATCTCACTTCCTTAGTTAAATTGATTTGATGTTCTTATAAACTTTTGAATTTGAGCAAAAATTGTATCCATGGTAAAAAGTATCATCAGCCCGTGGTTCACAATAAATCTGTCCATGTAATTTAATATCAAGGAACTTAAATAGGACTCAACTTTTCCCTGTGACCCCCAGTCCGTCCTGACACCACCACATCTTTCTCTCTCAGGTGCAGGAGCGAGTAAAGCAGGATATGCACGGTGTGAAAGCGAGGCTAGACGTCATGGACTCGGATAGTCGGCTGCGCCTGGAGCAGGAGGTTGCCGGACTGGGCCGACAGATGGCGGAATATCAGACAGACAGCCGCTCTTCTGCTGCCAGCCTCAGCCTCAGGATCCAAGCTTTGGAGGCCCAGAATGCTAAGGTAAAAGTTCTGGTAGAGATGACTCAAGATTTTTTGAAAGGAAAGACAGAGACATGCCTTAATCCTCTCTTTTGTTCTTGTTATCTTCTAAGCAGCTGACCTGATTCCTTGAGACTGTGTGACTATAATGTGACTGCCTCTGTCTTGTAGCTGACCCAGGAGCTGTCATCCATCCAGCTGGTGCCTCCTCCAGCCCCCTGTCCTGACCCCAGCACTGCCCCTGTCCAGAACCATCTAACCCCAGAGCTGCAACAGGCTATGGAGAAATGGCTCACTGACCGCATCAAGGTCGGTGCAGAGATCCTGTGGATGGTCTCTATGACGACCCAAACATAATCACAGTACATAGATGTCTTTTACTGTGACGCTGATTTCCTGTGTCATGTGGTGGTCTCCATTGCTTTTGGATTAGACTTCTGAATAATGTGTTTTATATGACCCAGTTTCATTTTAATGTGTTTGTGTTCGTGTATATTTTATGTATATTTATATCAGTCCAAATCAGTACTTATGGTATGTGCTGTGTGTGAATGTGAATCAGGAGCAGGATGCACTCAGGCTCGGTGACAAAGGCAGCGTCACAGACTTTGGACGTCCCGTGGCCGACAAAATGGCCGACTTCGCCCTGGAGACTCAAGGTCAGAGACATCACCGTGTCACCATCACTTGGATTTAGCTAGAAATACTGTGCTACAAGTTTAATTAAAGCAAATAAAACAGCAGTACAGCAGCAGTTAATTTGTCCACTGGTTAATCTTCTAAATGATTGTTGCCTATCTGACATCGTGTGTCTGTGTGCAGGTGCCAGTGTGATCAGCACCAGGTGTTCGGAGACGTATCGTATTCGTTCAGCGTGTGTGACCCTGTTTGGTTTCCCCCTGTGGTATCCGTCTGAAAGCCCACGCACTGTTATCCAGGTATCATCATCATCATCATCATCATCATCCCCTCCCTCACTATTTTCTTTGTCATAATCAACTCAGTAGGTAAAGATTATTACCCAGTTTCATTTTTCCTGACTGCGTCTCCTCCCTCCCTCCCAGGGTTACCCAGTGATGCTCCCAGGGAAATGTTGGGCGTTCCACGGCGTCCAGGGAACTCTTGTCATCTCTCTCTCTCACCCCATAAGAATAACTCATGTGACGCTGGACCACCTGCCACGCTACAACTCCCCCACTGGCCGTATCGACTCCGCGCCCAAAGACTTTGAAGTCTACGTGAGTGCTCCCATTGCAGAAATGCAGGATGGCATTTCATGACTTTTTCGCTAACCAAGCTGCCTGAACTGTTTAATTTACAGATACATTGAGCGGTTGTAATAATACCGACATCAGATTAAGCAGCTTTAAAAAATTCCAACCACAACTGCCAGCAAACGTTGTAATTTGAATTCTTATGACCTTTATTTCTCGGAGTATATCATTTAATATCTAACATCTTGTAAAATATTGACTGCCTGCTGAATACGGATGCATTTTATTGTTGTTATTAATGCATAATTGAAATTTGACAAGTTTTCACAGACTTCCAGCATCATATTGAATTTGGCTCCAGGCTTACTGCTTTTTGTTTTAGTCTAAATATTTGTGATTGAAATGTAAAGTCACTTCTGACTCGAGTAGACACCACTCTGACGCTGTGATCTCACTCCCTTTCCCAGGGAATGAAAAACGACACGGAAGAAGGAACGCTGCTGGGGTCTTTCACCTACGATGAGGACGGAGAGCCGACGCAGACCTTTAAGCTGCCTGTAAGTTCAAATGATCAGATCTAAATAGACAATGATATGACACCATGATTTTTACAGAAAGACAGAACATGACCCACCTACTTCCTGTTCTATATAAAAAGTGTGAGGTCACATAAAGTGTTTTTGCTCTTGTTAAGTCTTGAATGTCAGCATGCGCTCATTTTGACATCTGTTTTCTCTTTATGCGTGCACTCTTGAATTTTATGTCTCTGTATTTTCTTGTTCCCTCTCTTGTCCTGTGCCCTCACCACCCTCCTGAAGGACCCCAGTGACGAGGTTTATAGAGTTGTGGAGCTGCGTGTCCTCAGTAACTGGGGTCATGTCAAATACACGTGTCTTTACCGCTTCCGTGTGCACGGAAAGATCGCTGCCACATGAGACCCACTGAGCGCGACGCAACGTCTCATTCCAACACATCCGAAAGTTCATGTGTAATGTTTGGTGCCGACTCGTGTGTCAGCTGGTTTTGCTGTGTTTTGGACTGCTTAATGTTAAAGTGACAGAAATCATCGGAGTATTTTTATGCACGAGTTGAAGTGCACACTTGGCTTTGAATAAGTGTACAGAATGAAGTGTTTCAAAAAAACAAAAATCTACCTAGTAAAATCATTTGGGAGCAGAGAGTTCTGGAAACTTTTTGCTTTCAGTCTTATGAGCGTGCCACAAAATAATTTTGAAACTTTTTGTTGTTTTAATTATTATTGCTATTTATAAGGTATTTCCTGCTTCACATCTGTACAGCGCACAGTCCCACCGGGTAAAACACATTTCTTCACATTTTGCCAATGAGAAGCTGCAGAGTGTTAAACACAGTCGTCAGTGGTATTCAAACAAATGAAAGAGCGAAGGAATTTCTCTTTCACTTTCCTGACCAGATCTGCGCACATGGTCCTGGGATGTGAACCAACAGCAACTGGTTGTAATCACACATATCAAGGCTTCCTGTCACAGCACACAAGTGATGTTAAAAAAGCTTCTGTCTAAATTTCTCTGTCCATTTTTGGACACGAAGTGAACTTCAATTAGAACTGTAATTAACAATTATTTTCATTATCGACTGATCTGTCAGTTATATTCTAAATTAATTGATGAACCATTTTGTCTATACAATTTCAAATAAATAGTGAAAATGCCCATAAAATATCCCAGAGCCCTAGCTGGGGTCCTCAGGTGTTATTTTTTTCCGACCATCAGTCTAAAATACAAAGATATTCAGTTTATTCTCATGACAACAAAGAAAAGTATTAAATCTTGACATTTGAGAAGCAGAAACCGTCAAATTTTTTGCTTAAAAAAATGATCATTTGATTATCAGAATAGTTGCCTATGAATTTCCTGTTGATGAACTAATCAATTAATCGTTGCAGCTCTAATTTCAATATTTAATATTTTTTACAATTTTTAAGCTCTGGTTAATAAAGTTCCCAGTCGGTTGCCTGTTACCTGAACTGGCTGAAACAGCGTCATCTTTTCACGACATTCTTCTGATTTATAGATGTTGCTGATTATTTATACAGGAGGCAGCAGTGAATGTTTTTAATCAGTTTTGTTTCTTATTGGCAAGTTAAATTTAATAATCCTACAGAAAGGAAAAATATGCAGCTTGGTAAAATTTCATTTGTTTTCTCTTTTAGCCAGTTTGGACTCATCAGTTTTGATTTTATTTAGTACTTGAATACTTGAAAACCTCTTCGAAAGGCGTCATGTTGATTCCATGATGTCTGTCTTTCTGCTTTCTTGTACATAATACTTTTGCATTTTGTATGAGCTTCTCAACCAGGAAGGAAAAAGTGTTATTTATTTGTAAAATGAGAATATGACTTTTTTAATTCATGTGTTATGTCTGTTTTGTAGGATCGGCTTGACAACACTGTTTAATTACTTTCCAACATGCTAGACACGTGTACAATCATCAGTCTACCATTTAAAATATCTGCTCACGTAATGACACAACTGCACATGAGAGTGTGTACGTCATTGTCATTTAGTCATTACTCATGTATTCTTTGTTGTTGTTTGGTGGAGAAAATATTAGACAGTTCTTCTAATGAAGTGCACTAGAGGTGAATCCAGGTAAAATCCATCATTTCTCACTCATTTCTTAAAAGGAGGTGTAGAAAAGAGAGATGGATGATAGAGGACGAGTCCAAATAATTGTGATTTGGATCATTACATGGGGAATTACAACCCAGTATCAGGAATTATATATTAGTTACAGTATTTTACAGTATATAGGATATACACTCAGTTGGCATTTACGCCTAGCTGAAACTGGTGTGGTCTAACCCAACAGCCCTGCAATTGATCCTCCTTCGTGAAGTTTATAATGTTCAGTTTTGTTTCAGAGCTGTTGATTCAACCGTGTGATCATTTCAGAGGTTGTTAAACACTAGTGCATTGTACAGAGAGGTGTTGAGCTGTTCTGTTATTTAGCCTGCCCTCATTGATATAACATTTGTTGATAAAATGAAAACCTGTTATTTTAACCCAATATAATTACACTGCATCAGAGACTACATCCTCCAAAATGACCAAACAATCAGCCCCTCTCTGAAACAAAACTGAACGTTCTGACCTTCATGAGGGAGGATTTATTGCAGGACTGTTGTATTAGACTGCATTAGTTTCAGCTAGGTGTGCCAAGTAAACTTCCAACTGAGTGTACATTGGTGGTAACTTTTCTTTGAAGAGTGGACAAAAACATTTTGATATGATTTGTGCTGGTAACATGAATTAATAATTGTAGTGCATTGTGTTTTGTATTTAAGTTGGTGATTGTATTTCATACAAGGATTTCTGTACAATTTTATTGTTTTTATTTACAATTACTGCTTGATTATCTTAATTGTGTATGACCATGAATTATGATTTGCTTAAAAATCTGTAGGACTTCCTCCTGGTAGAAGCAGTTTTACTTAATACATTAAATTGAATATTAATTGGCTGTTGAGATGCAGATCATTTTAAATGTGCATTATTATACACAATACAATATATAATGTGATTTAAAAAAAAAAAAAAAAAGATTTTTCTTTCACTTATATTAGCTAAAAAAAATATATCATCATATTTTAAAGCTGTTGAACAGCCTGTGCAGCATCTTTGTGTACATGTGCTCTTTCCTAACACACAATGCAAACAATGTAATTCTTGTGTGTAAAGCCATATGAGCAATGTGGAGAAAAATGCTAATGTTAATCGGAGTCATTTAGATCAATCTTCTCCACACAGTTCTAATGATATATGGGTAATTGTTCTCAATTTAAAAAAAAAAACCCCTAAGTGACAGGTTAAGCGATATTTTTTTGAAGTTTATTGCTAGTACTGACAATTGTTTTTTCCTTTAATTAAACTGTCATTTGTCAGATACCTCCTGAGTATTTGACAATCAATGCCTATTTGCAAGCCAAACTGGGATGTTTATTTGATTTATTAAATAAAACATTGTAATATATTTCTTGTGTTTCTTGTTTTATGAGTCCTATTTTCAGTGTACAGTGAACACTATGACAGTATAGTTAAAAACTACTACATTTCTAAATAATGAAAATCTGGGTGCTTGTTCTGGACCCTGATTCATGTTTAATAGCTTAGTTTCTTTAATATATTGTTTTTATCACAAAATAACATCCAGTTTCCCATATTTAAGAATCAAAGAAACATATAAAGACATCCAGAAGTTTCAATTTGAAGTAGCAATCTCAGTGATCTGTTCCGATAGCTTTGGCGACCACTATGGCCATAAATGGTAATTGCAGGTTTGTTTTTGAACCACACTCCTGGCACTATCTTTGTGTTACTGACTCCAGTTCCTTGTGATTTGCAGGTGAGTCGTACCAGACATAGGCTCAATTATGATTGCATTACCTCATTTAGCGATAGTGATTTAAAAGATGAAAATCTTCCACTTTAACTACCCCTTCATTTTTTTATTTTTACTTTTCAGTATTCTGGATGTAATTAAAAGCATCTGTGTGCACTATAAATTGACAACACCATGTAATTTTAGTATTAGACGTGAGTGTATTTCCATCCCCCATCCAGATTAGAGTCCAGCTCTTTTATTACATTTGGCTCTGTTGTACATGTCATGAAGGTCAGGCTGCTCTAAACTGTAGCCACAGCTTTTGGCTCTGTAGAGCCGCGGTGATATCTCATCTTGGGCAGCTGCTTGGTGCGTGTGAGATAACACAGAGGCTGAACAAAACAGCTCATGGAGAGAGCTGTGTAGGTCACACAGGTGAGGGCAGAGAAGGGACTAAAATGATGGGGAGCAAACTGCCTCAGCAGGTACTCTGTGACTGAGGGCAGGTAGTGGATGTTGACCAGAACAAATGAAGTGAGCACTATCCTTGAAAGCTCGTTTTTTCACTGGATGGACTTCCTTCTTGCTGGGCCCTGTTTTGCGGAGGGACCTGAGAATGAGGATGCTGCAGGCTGATATGATCGCTGTGGCACTACTTAGGACCACAGATACCACCGTCCACTTGAACACCCTGGAGACTTTCATCAGATAGCAACAAGAAGGGGTTACGGCATCCACCATCAGGCACAGTGACGGCCTCAGCTTGGGATCCTTGAGCCGGAGGAATACCAGCGGGTGGCAGACTGCCACGTAGCTGTCCAAACTCAAAATGCAGAGGAACATCGGCCCTCATGCTAGATTTAAACTCCAAGCTACGAAGTTACCAGCCTCTATTGTTCGAATGCACAGGAAACGGATGTACTCGGATAGAAATATGAAGCAGAACAACATGTTAAACACTGCCAGGTTGAGTGTGAAGATCTCTGAGGTGGAACAGATACCAGTTTTGCCCAGCAGGAAGCGTATGACCAGTGCGTTGGTTGGCAGCGCCAGCGGTGGCACGATCACTGCTGTGGGCAAGAAGTACCAGAGGAGCACACTGATCATTCGTCCTGTGTTGTTGGGGTTGATGGTTCCGTTACATTCGGAGTTTTCCATCACTGTGGTTGGTTCACTGTATGTGTTGATTTTCTGAGTTGAATATCTGTCAAAAGAGAGGATAGTTTGACAACATGCAACTTTTTTTTACATTTCTTATTTTTGTTTTAAATCCACGATGATTTTCTAAATTTCTTTTTTAAATAATAGCAACATTAGAATTAATTTGGAGTCATGTTTCTTTTCATCTGATGAATGTAAATGCAATATTCACAGTTTTTTTTAGCTCTGTCTGACGCTGATGGGAGCGGTGAGATTAAATCAAAATAGTATAGTTGTGGAACTGTAGACTCAGGTGATAATTTTCACTACAAAAGACCACCTTCACAGTCATATAGGCATTTGAGAAACTGTTAATATACACTAACACAATGGCTTTAACAAAAGATGTGAAATAAACCCACAAATATCAACCAACTGTGGACTCCACTGACCTTTTTAGCCTCTTTTAGCTCATTGTTTTGGGTTTGGTTAGCATAAAATGGCAGGAGGACAAATTAGCGCTTAGCTGGGGAAGCTGAGAAGAAACATAACTACAAATGAATGCTAATGCTAGAATGATGTCAGTAAATCAAACCAAAACAAATCCAAATCAACATGTCTGCTGGATGTACAGATAAACAAATGCTAACACGTTAGCTGTAAGACCTTTATACGGTCATAGTTTCAGCATGGTGTGCACCTCTTCAGCCAGAGTTGCCAAAAATTGTCCATCTCCAATAAAATGGAGGTTCAGGATAGCTACAGACAATGACTTTAGAACAAGGACAGAGGTTTTGTCTCATCATTGGTAGGGGCACAACAAGCCCGCCACCCTTCGAGAACAAAGAGATTAGCTTTTCAACCAAACAGTTTATTAAGAAATAAGATCTGAATTTACATTCAGGAATGACAAATGTAATATATGTACATGTGTTGAATTTGCATATATGAAATATATGAACATATGAAGTATAATCATATATGTATGTAAGATATTGGAACAATATCATATATTGACATATATGTCTAGCTAATACAAACATGTATTTTAGTATGTCTGTTTATGTTATAAACATATGTCACATTAATATATATACATCCCAAAGCCTGTCAGTATATGTTCATATTATATTTTTAAATATATAATAGTTAGATAGACATGTATGTTTAAATTTAAAGAGAAATTATTAAGGAAATCATATAGAAACTATAGAATGAATGAAAATTTAGTTTAAATAAAATTGCATTTTACTGTGAGTATTTAATATATGATTTAAACTTATATCTTCATGTATCCAGAGGATATATATATGTCATAATTATATGTCCTCTTTTAGGTGACACATATGGTAACATCACTCTATACGGATCACTCATATATGTCATAAACACTGTTGCTCATGAAGTTGGAATGAAATATTTTTTACCTCTTTCCATGAAATGATTATGACAATGTGATTTATTCTTGACAGATAATATATGTATATGTCCCTA